ACCGTGCGCGCGATTGCCCACTAATGCAATCGCATGCCTTCGCGCAAAACACTCAACATCGGGTGCTGGAACCTGCGCACACTACTGGACCAAAACACGAGTGAGCGCACCGAGCGACGCACTGCACTCATCATCATCATCCTTAGTATACACGATAGCTGTTGATGGAAAACACCTCGGCTACTGTGCTGCAATACAAAAGATAAGCATACAAGAAGAAAACTGCACTGGCTGCGATTAAACTGGAACGCTACCTCAATATTTAGGCGCTCAGCGAGACCCGGCTCGCTGAGCAAGGTAAGTTGCATGAGGCTGTTGCTGGCTATATCTTCTACTGGGTGGGAAACGCCATCTCAGTACGAGGTGAACGTGGGGTCGGGTTTACACTAGCCGATCGCCTAAGTGCTCAGCTGGTGGGAGCCCAATTACATCAGCGTGAGACTAATAACTGTTCGTCTACGGCTCGGAAGAGGTAAGCTTTCCACTTTTATGTGCACGTACGGTCCGACCATGTGTTATTCTGATGACCCGCGTGATCACTTCTATACTCAGCTATCTTTTGTGATACGGTCTGTGCCCAGCCGTGACCGACTATTTCTGCTGGGTGCTTTCAACGCGCACGTTGGGCGTGATGCATCGGTGTGGACAGATGTCATCGGTCCACATGGCATTGGTTCAGCGAATGCGAACGGTGCCTGGCTGTTATCACTGTGTCACACTCAGGGTCTGATGATCACGGACACTCAGATTGCACTGAGTGCGAGTGACATAGCAACTTGGACGCACCAAAGGAGTGGTCACGCTCACCTGCACGACTATGTCATTGTACACCAACGTGATATACATGAAGTTTGCTTGACACGTATAAGACGTGGACCTGAGTGTGGCACTGATCACGGGTTGGTGCGGACCAAATCGTATACCTATTTTTGCAAATATATCATTACACTTCTTTGTGAACCGTCGGAAATATAACTTGCTTTCCCTAGGTACTGTAAAGAAGAGGATGGAGCTGGAGAAGGCGATGACTCCATGCCTGTGTGATGCGGAATGCATAGCCACAGTGGGCGACCTGTGACACCACACTCGCGATCAGGTAACAGTTGCTGCCGAACAGACAATCCGGCGCGCAAACTGTAAGCAGCCCGATTGGTTTGATTGAAACAATGCGATGATCGGCCCATTGGTGTCTGAGAACAATGCAGCATTTACTACACATATGGCAGAACCCAGTGACTTGGAGAAGAAGAGTCAGTTTTGCAAACGTGGACCGCGACTAACTCGTGAACTCCGTCGCATTAAAAGTACATGGTGGACGGAGAAGCCAAAGCAGATGGAATGCTACGCCTAATGCCGCCAACACAAGGAATTCTTTGAATCTTTGTAGGCGGTGTATTAACCGAGGTTGGAGCCGCTGCGGACGCTAATCGATGATAGCTCAGGCGCTGCCTGCACGCAGACTGCAGATATGATGCAGATCTTGCGAAATCACTTTGTTTCTCTCCTGAACAACCGTTCAGAGATTGACTGACATACGTTGAACAGCCTGAAGCAGCACGATGTGATGGCGAGTCTGGCGGACACGCCGACACAGGATGAGACGCAGAGAGCACTTGCTCACCTGCGAAACAGCAAGTGTGCCGATGCCGGCGGAATCCCGCCTGATTTATTAAAACACGGTGGACCCGCCTTGCTGACTGCGCTGCATCACTTGATGCAACGCGTATGGATTGAGGAGGAGGTGCCTCCTGTGCTGAAGGATGCCCTTGTGCTACCACTGTACAAGGGCAAAGGGAGCAAGCAATGTTACACGAATAATCGTGGCATCAACTTGCTGAGTTGTGTGGGCCAGGTAATTTCCCGAATCCTGCTCAACCACCTCGTCAATCAGGTTGTGGAACTTGACGTGGCGGAAGAGCAATGTGGATCCCGTTCGGATCGCACGAATATCAATGTGGTGTTTGCGGTTTGTCATTTCTAGAGAATTGCCGGGAACGACGCCAACCGATGCACTTGCTGTTTGTTGATTTCAACAAAACCTTTAATACGGTGAACCGCGAGGCATGGTGGCTGGTGTTAGGTCAGTTTGGCTGTCTGTGCAGTGGTATGCGGGCAAGGGCGCAGCTGAGTAGAGTGACCTCGGATGGCTTTGCAGTTGTTGCAGGTGGGAGGCCAGGCTGTGTGTTGGTTCTAGTCATGTTTATTATTTATCGTCACGCCATGATGTCGTGCGCGTTTGATGCCGCTTGTGCGGACGGTGTTCGTGTGGAGCACCGTATTGGTGGTGGGTTGCAGAACATCCGTCGTTTTGGTACGAGAATCCTAGTCTGTGAAACAACTATCCGTATGTTGCTGTTCGTTGACGACTGTGCGTTGTTTTCACACAGCGCGGATGAGTTGCATCAAATGACTTGTGCGCTGGCTTCGGCAGCGGCCTAATTCGGGCTCACCATCAACACAACCAAAGCCGTCTGTTTCTTTCAGCCTTCACCGGAGGTGCAATCTGCAATGGTGCCGCGAATCAGCCTTGGTGCTGAAGTATTGGAAACCACCTCCCGCTTCTGCTACCTTTGGAATTTGATGTTGACTGACCAGCAGCTGCGCAGTGAGCTTCATATCCGCGTCTCGAAGGCGGCGGCGGCATTCGGGAAGCTAGAGTACCAGATATCAGATAACTATCAGCTTACCGTTGGCACGAAGCTGATGGCATACAAATCCATGGTGCTGTCAATTATTCTATTCAACAACGAAACGTGGACGACGTACCGGCGGGCTGTGCTGCAATGCGTCTAGAGGTTTCATCAACAGTGTCTGCGACGTATTTTGTCTATTGCTTAGTGCGACAGAGTTGCAGACAAGGAAGTGTTGCACAGAAGTGAAACGTATGCAGTGGAGTGCTTATTTTTGCTGAAACACTTGAGGTGGCTGGGCTATGCGTAGCGTGTGGATTTGACGCGGATACCGAAGCATCTATTATATGGTCCGCTGCGTTTGGGGAAGCTGCATGTGCGGAAACCGAAACTTCGTTAGGAGGACTTGATCAAAGTGAGCCTCTTACGTTCTAATGTTGATTGCAGGCCACTGGAATCAATAGCGGTTGATTTGATCAAGAAGGCCATTGCCGATGTACAAGCGATATTCCTTGTGCATGTAGAGTAGAAGCGGCAGCTGTGGAAGTGACAGTCGCCGATATGGTGTACTCCATGGACGTCGAGCGCATGGTGCTGTAACGCATGCGGTCGCGAGGGCCTATCTTCTCACACAAGTGGCTTAAACGGAAGGTGTTTATGTTCGCTAATGTTATTCATGTTTGATATCTTTTCCCGCAAGTTTGAGTTTATCGCAAATATATTGATAGCGAGTTTAGTTCATATGATCATTTTGTGAAGAGTTAAGTTGGCATATTCGTATGCCTTATCTATTTTATTTGTTATCGTCACTCCATGTGATTGGCGGTTGCTTGATAAGATCCCTGTGATTGCGCTTGATATGCATGTTATCAAGGTACCTACCTGCCTATTACCCACAACCTCGTCTACACTGGCTCCAAGAGATAGTTGGTCGTTGCTGGAGGGGACGGGGTGCACGGTCCCTGTGACCGTGGTTCTATACACTCAGTGTGGAGCGGATTAGGATTCAGCCACCGCATTGTGTGCGCTTGATTCCCCAAATAGAGCGTGATTATGTTCGTCGGGGAAGAAGTATGGGCCGGCTCCGTTGATAAAGTGTACCTCCTATCCACATGCCTCCCGGTCTAATTCCTTCAGGTTTACACTGGATTTGAGGTGTGTGGATGGAGCTGTGGGTGGTGCGGCGCAAGCCACCCATGGTCCCTCTTTAGGCGCGGGCGTCCTGTGGATGTCCTATGGAGGCCATAGGGACAGGCGAATCTGGAACCGGATAGTGCCAACCATGTGTGGTGTGCGAGTGGATCGTTAGCTGACCTTGGGTGAAGATGCGAAAACTACGAACCATAATTTGTGCAAGCACCTTAAGGCTTCTCGCACACCCACACACACTTTATTTTAATCATGCCCGCGCTGGGGCGATTATGGAGTGATCTCCATAAGTTTGACACAACCATCTGGATCACACTTTACAGTGGGCAACTGGCGCTACCTTCCGTTGCAAAGGCAAACTGGAGAGGCGAACTTACCGCTGAGAGAGCTACCGCTACCCATCATCTTTATACGTGTACTGCTCCATTGAAACATCAAGTTCCTGCTTAGAAGTTGTGCGTGTGGCTCAGTCCCCTTGTGTTTGCATGTTCTTAGAGGTATGTTTACTATTGGGAAGCATGTTCCCTGACCTTTCTCCTTAGGGGTTATACTGGGTGTGAGAGGTGAATAGGCGACTGTATGCAGTCTAGCACGTGTTATTTTTTACCCCACATATAGTCAGCACTCTCATTTACACGGCCTAGGTCATACAGGCGGTCAGTTTCAAAAACGCTTAGTGAAACGGTGCTAAAGGTCAAAAGTATTACTGAAACCCGCAATTACTTCGTTTGATTTAGCTTCTGTCAGTTGGTTATGGCTATTCTCCGCCATCTGGTAGTCTTCATGAAACGCGACCAGGTATTAGGGCTTTTCCTTGACAGAGATAGTTCGTCACAAATCTCTCCAAAACTATAAGTTCGCCTGGTGATTAGTAAAGTGTCTGAGTTGGTTCTCTGCTTCCACTGCCTCATTTCATCCAATCTATTTGTTTCACTTTCAGTTTCTCTCTTCATAAAGCTACATGGAGGCTTCGATTCCTCTAATGAATATCACTTACGTTAGAGCTGACTGTAGTATAAATAATGTATAACCACTGGTTTAGAAGATGCTGTTTCATACATCGTTCAGGCTATATTTCTGTCGGATATCGAAACAATCGATATCATCAGATTTCGCGAATCTTACTGGCAGGCAAACAACACCTAACGTACTCTTCTACGGTTTATACGGCATATGTGCGTGCTATTCATGGAGATCTGATTTACTTTTATCAATTCTCCGATGGTTCCCTGTAGTCCGGACCTTTCTGCTCATAGGTATTTGTTCTCTAGTATCTTCGCCTCATTGCGACTCGCTGACATGGGCTCTGTGGATGTCGCGCTCATCTAGACGGTACCCTCGTGATTCCCTCTTTAAATGGTTAGATCATTTTTCCTTGCAGATACCCTGAAACAACTCGTTCGCTTTCCTTATCCCTCCGTGATTTTTATCCTTGAGCATCTCCCACGTCCTTCAACTAATGGGAACTGACATTGCTTCAAACCGTTGCTTATTTGAATCATTTGTCCTTAATATTGCGTGGTCCTTTGCAATAAGCTAAGCCAATAACAGCAAGCCATCTACTCACTGTACGACCCTACGCTTTCCATAGTATGCTGGTTTCAGCTGCAAATCAAATCGACTGTCGTTTCTCTCAAACCTGTCTATGCTTCAGTTAGTGTACATGTTGGGGGCTTTGAGGTTAACTTAACGAAATGTTTTCATCTATTGGTAAAGTCTGTAGAGATTGCACGGTTTTTGAGTTATGCATAATCTGTACCGAGAAAGACTACACTGAATTACCGTGCTTCATTTCTAAACAGTTATGGACTGGACAAGGGAGTGCTTATTTCATTTCGTCAGTTTGAGGAAGCTTTCACCTCTCGACCGTTGGGAAAGCATGCTCCTCCAATTTTGTTTCACGGACTCGGAGCTGAACGATGTTTGTCCGTCGCGCACGCGTTCAAATTACTACAGGAGGTTGCTTGTGATCCATCATTTGATTTGAAACGCGTGCTACCCCCAAGCTGCTTTGAACCAGGAGGGCGGATTCTGTGCCCACAACTACGCGAAGGGATGAACTTGATGCGAATAAAACTGACGGATGAGAACTATCGGCGCCTTTGGCGGGAGTAAGTTACCAGTGCTTTGTCCCATTCGGTCATCACCTTTTCAGCCTCGACCCTTCTGTAGACAAATAAGTTATGCCACAATGTAAGTGTGCCTCAAGTTCCGAGCAAGATGTTGAAACGAACGCACGGAGATTTCATTCAGCAATATTTGCATATATGATGTCCCTATTAATCCAGCACGTCATCCTGCTCCTGCAGAGAAGTATATTTGCATCACCACCGATGTGCAACGATGATGAAATCGACATATCTTCGGTGCATCCGGTACACCAAACAGTAAAACCCAGGGAGATAGTAACTCGGTTTCCACTGAGTGTGATCAAAGTAATTTTGGAATTGCACATCAAGTGAATTTTCGACTGCGGCACATAAATATAAGATATATATATAAACTTTATTGGAAATATGGTAAGACATATTATCTTCAAAATACCTGCTTTCGGCAAAGGACAAGGATCGGTGCTTGTGGCCTGTGTATACTGTATAGGCACAATGATCAGTGTGCATGGAAAGAGGCCGGTTTGTCAATTCATAACGAACAGCTTTTTGCCGAACGCGTAATAGTAATTTTCCCCTGAAAGCCATATGCAGTCCACCGAAGTGCCGCTGGTTTACAGCCCTTACCGCAATTTCTAAGTAGCACTTGTAAATGGTAATAAATTGGATAATTCAAAGCAAGCTAGTTTAGCAATGTTTGTGGTGGCATTCTTACGTCCGGTTAAGGAGCACTTGGTGTGCGCCAACTGTAGTTGATAAAATGCGCATAACAGCAGGTGGCTTTGTAGTATTTATTCTGTGATCAGTTAATCAGGAACATACATGGCAGTGCAGTCACAGCTGACCGAAACAGCAGCGATGGTTCATGCTTTCGGAGGAATTCTCGGATAAACACCCTTGTGAGCTATGTTTATCACTACTAGTTATGTGCTAGTGGACCACAGTGCACAATTGCCAACTCACCATGAACCAGTCGGATTGTCCCGTTGATAGCTCAGGCCAATCTGACGTCTTTAAACGTGTGTCTGCTTCATCGTTAATTCATGTGACGAGTCGAATTCGCACGGGTAGTCGCTCGGTAGCGTGGAATTCTTCTACCCCAAGAACTTTGGAATGCGCACGGTAGATCAGAGAACGGCGGACATCCAAACTGAAAATTGTTGTACCACGGATTTCCGGAGTACGGCAAAGAATAGGAGCAATTTTATGCCGTAAGTGACAACAAAACATCCCACAAAGTGCGGGAAATAAACTGCTTATACCGTGTAAGCCTCCATAATTATTAAAGGCCACGAAAGCAATGTCGCAGCCTGCTAATCTTACGATTACTACATAAGGGAAAACTGGCACGCAAAAAATCTCCTAAGCAATCCTGCTCATAAGTGTGCATTAGTGTGCAACACTAACAGAATCATATAATGCAACCTAATGTAATGACGTTAAAATGTATCAGCATTCTGTAGAGGAGAAGGTGTACGAGCATTCAAACGTTACATTATGAACTCCGGCAATAAGCATTAGCCATCAAAATCTTCTCGGTATCGTTCCCATTATGCACCATTTCACAGGCATCTTAGCGCATTGTACCAAGCTTTTAGCGTGGCACATTTTCGAAATCGCGTGCTGTGCATTTAACTTCGCGATGCTAAAAGGCTGGTCTGGCGGCGTTGACAATCTCCTTGGCCATGAGACGTTAGCCAATGGGACACCGGTTAGAAGCCCGAGCATAAGCGACAGACAGTCAAATGAAAGTAAACGAGCATCATCTTCTGTGCTGCCCTGATGCGCGTCTGAAGAAAACCCCGATGATTTCTCTCCAAAGTGAAACCGTCCAATAGGCAACTTGTGATGCCTGTCTAAGTAAGAGATGCTAGCTGCCACATTATCCGGAGATTACGCCGTAGCCAGTGCGGACGGACTTGCAAGCCATTACATGAAGCGGTCTATGCTTATTGATCGCTAGCCGCTATCTGGTGGTGGCTTATTTCAGCAGCCTAACCATGGTTTCGATGGTGGCGTAGACAGCCATTCTTCCAACTGGTATTCCGCAGTCCATTATGTCTGGGCGGGTCAGCCAGACCTGTATTTGCGGTTGGTCAGGCATGCGCCGTGGCTAGGACACTGCACACCTTAAGCTGGATCAGCAATGGCTGCTCGGCGCTTGGACCATTTTGTGAGATTGTTATTGCAACGACCATGGGGGACATTGTTCCCATTGAAGTAGGTAGACCAACCTGAAGCTTAACAACGAATGTTCTGTGGGTGTTTACTTCTATCACACTTGATGACTAAACACAAACATTGTTCCAACTAGGAGGATTCCAAGGGTGACGGTGACATGACATTAGTGAGTGTTCGTTGATCTCCACAACCATGGGCGACTTTGTTAACCAGTTATCGCCCCAGTGTCAACAGTTATGGCGTTAGTTAAAAATTATAGGAAGGAGGCAAAACCTATGTATTCATAGGATAATTCGGCTTTACTTCCATGTGGTCGCCCATAGGTGTGGAGACGCTTTGACAAAGGGCTCTCCTAATGGCACCATTACAAGCACAGCAACTACGGATGGAACCTCCCTATGACTACCATGGACTGGAATGCTATCCTTATGGAATCAGCATTGCTCAACAAAGAAATATCTAAATGGACTGCGAAGACTACCGTATTTATAAATGCCACATCGTCCAGCAAGGAAAAACGCGATGGCCGATAATTAGTGGCTGCGCACGCATTTTGTTCTGGTAATTCAGCTGAATACTTGGAACAGGTAAACACTGTTGTCTCACCCAAGAGCGTTCCTACAGCATGTTTGCAATCACTTACCAAGGCAACCGCGCCCACTAATCCTGTTATGGACCACTGTTTCAGCCAGTCTTAGAAGCAGTCATGTGTGCATGCCGTGACACACGTTGTTATCGACTTGGCAACTACTCGGCAACATTTTGTCATTGGAAAGTAGGTAGTTCCGGAAGCATTGTTGAAGGAGGGAAATTGCTCCAAACCTTATGCTTACAATGCGTACTCAGTGCTTGTTAGCGGGTCATATCAGGGCTGTAGGGTCACCTAGTATTGCAAACTTGCCAATCACATGGAAGTGCAGTGTGAATATCATGTCAAAACGCAGGATTGACATGCATCTTACGACCTTTACATAACGGCAGATCAATGGGCACTGCAGTGGTAACTAATTACCGAAGTAGTCCATAGGTGTGGGGACGAACGAACTCTCACTAATGTGACACCGGCACACTGGGAATCCTTCTAATTGGAACAATGGATACAGATTAAGTGATGATCTTACCTACCCAGCGAACTTTCCCTTAGTATACAATGTGCCGATTACATCAGAAGTACGTGGATACACTATTCAAATGAGTGTACGGTCCACTGAAACAACACAGTATGGAAACTTTGTAGCTGTAAGGGGTTTAAAATTTTCAGTTGCTAACAACTTCTGAATTTACCCCTTTCATAAGAATTATTGTATTAGTTCTAAATTCCCCCTCTGCCTTAACAATCACATGCATTTTCTAAACGAAATCGTACACGTATCGATCACCAGATTGCTTGCAGTGGCACGATTACATTATGCATACTGTATCACGTTAGGCCAGATAGGCAAGCGAGCAAAAAAGGCAACTGTGCAGTCCACCCGTAAGCCTTCAACGCTTCTCTTCCAACAGCCTGCAAGCGTTGCAGCCTCAACACAAACAACCAATCTGCTTCTTATTACCACTCACTTAAATGTTATCTCACTCGGGTGGTAGTGAAACATGCTTACACCAGACTTCAAGCATAGCCAATCACCTATTATGTCTCCGCTTGGCTGGTCGCCGTCGACACCGTAGAAGTTTGCTGATACACCAATTGCGGTCAACAGATAGGCGACCGACAATCCGAGAGAATCGTACATCGAACCTGCAAGCCTGCTACCAGATTGCAGGTGGTTTTGTACTACATGACAATCGTTCCAAAATGTGATTTTGTTTAAAACCACCGGCACATTCTGTGTCGCACAAATGCGCGTCTGAAGAAAAGCCGACGCGTTCTGTCGGAAGTCAAACCGTACAGTCGACATGACCGCAAGCATCCCTAGGACAGCACGCGCGCACTACGTCATACTTGTTACTCTTCCCTTTGGTGTGACCGCAGACTCGATGCCAAAATGTTTCGCGTGTTAGGAGTATGGACGAACAGGTAAAGTACCAACTGAAGCGATCGGTAGTATTGTTTTACCAGCCGTTTTCTTGTCGTGCTATCGTTCAACAACCTGGCGATGGGTACGACGGTCCCCTACTGAGCCATTATGGCAGTTCGTATTACAGAGTGCATGAGCTGTGGCGGAATTAGCAACGCGTGCATGCGCGGTTGGCCTTCCGCACACGCTATAGGATAGACGGCGCGCACTCAGCGTAGGCAAGAAAGGGCACGCGCTGGGCTGACTTATCAATTCCTGCTCTGCGGTTGGCTAACCCATCCGTAGAGAATTCCAGGGAGCCCTTGGAGGAAAAGGTTTTTAGGGGGGCCACAGGGGACATGTTGTGGAAAGTGGGTTACGATGACACGAGTAACGAAATTCAATTAAAAATTTTCGGGGACTTAGACTGGATAACTAACAACCGATTCTTCCTCAGGAATTTGTTGCCTATCTACTGTGAACCAACTGAGCTTCCTTCGCAACACTGTCGTCAGAACACTGCTGCAGTTACCGCACAAAGCCACACTGATACTAACAGAATTTTCCTAAGGACACTACAACTACCTGACAACTCAAGTGCTGAGAAAGTATTCTTCTTGAGTCTCACTTTAGCTGGGTTAGGTTACACGTTTTTCGTCTACAGCCTCGGCCCGCGCGCACGTCTGTCGGATAGGTCAGGTTAGCCCGATACGTTCCGAATTCGAATGGCTACTCTGCTTGCGTGGTGTACTAATTCCAAATAACGTTGGTTCCGTCCATACATTAATAAGCCGATTTATGGTACTTTCTCTGTTTGTTTATATTTTGTATATTTCCGAGATCGGAAGTGTGGTAGGCGGATATTCACGTGCCAAAGTGTATGAAGCAGTTTCTGTGGTGCAATAAGGGCCATCATCTGCCGTGCAGTAGGTGCTCACTGTCTTCTTCATGTCGGACACTTTCCTATGACTCGTTTCTTAGGTAATTTTTGCTGAACAGTCCAGTACTTGCAACATTTGAAAAGCCTTCAATCAAGTGGTAGTAACTGACTAGCATCTCGGGTATAATAGTGAGCAACTTCGCGTAATGTTCCAACCTGCTACAGCACAACCTGCTGCCAGCAGAATAGAAACCGTTACGTTCGGGCGTTATCGGTGGCTGCGTTTACCGTTTGACTTGAAGGTGCGGAGTGAAATAAATCAAAAGCGATTGATGCAAGGGGTAGAGGATTTACATGGTTTCACATCTGTGGCAGATGATGTTTTGCTCTATGGCTCGATAGCAGACAAGCATGATGCTAACTTCCACCCTTTCTTACAGCGTTGTGTTCAGGGTTAAACGGTCATATTGTTGTAAAAGAAAAATGGACCCACGATTTTTTGACCAGTTAGTCCAGCTCAAACCATGACTCTGGGCTATGTAACGTTCGTTAATCACGGTAACCTCGTGACTTCGATGCTGTCCATATATACTGCTTCTCTATTCCGCTCAAATGAAGCGCTTATTCGTCGGTAAAAGTAATGAACTGAATATCCATGTGATCCAATAACCACGAGCTAAATGCATACCGTTTCTCCAGATCGCAAGGGCTCAACACTTGCACTTTAAGCACTTGCACCGGCGATATTTGTTTTTCTTTAAAATCCGCTGAACAGCGTAACTAGTGGCGTCACAACGCTGGACGATTGTATTGAGGCTGAGAGCAGGATTTTTGGTTACTTCGCGGGTAATATCGCAAACCGACCAGTATTACTAGCTATGTAGACATTACCACTTTTCTCAGACTTTGCACCAGTTCCGGAGCTTAAACCCCATTTACTGGTCGCAATCTCACGTTCATGCTTTTGCCTCGTCGCGCAGTTCTTTGCAGCATTTAAACCGCACAGACCATACAGCCGAAGAATCAACACACGCTAACCCACAGTCACGCATTGTAACTCCAGTTGCTCGGACCTCATGGAGGAACGTGCTTCACCATGGTCCATCGTTCAGGCACTGTTCTCAAGCGGAAAGCCTCCTCCGCAGTAACCTGATTTGGTCTGGCGAACTAACTATTGGTGGCTGGCCAGAAAATATTATCGATTATCATTGTCGCACTATCCATATTTATCCATCATCTTAGCGGTCGGTTCGTCTAACGTGCGCCGGTCTGTCCACACCCAGTTACCCAACGGGGCATTTCTGTAGTCTGAAGTACAGAATTCATGTGTCCTAGTCCCTTGGGCTAGAGGATCTGCACGCACAAGGTGCGTTGGTAGTTGCATATCCCTGTGCCATGAGACGGCTTTCGGCCCCATATTCCCAATGGAACTGTACACTACCGCTCGAGGGTTCCATATATACCTACCGAACTTTGGGTAAATCATGTCCCGAACGCTTGGAACCTAATTTCCATTACGGGAAGCTGGTTGCACCAAGAAGTTTCTGATGCTGATGTTGAGAACGCAGCAATATCATTCATCCGGAGCGAACATCCCATCGTGCAGTGATCTGCAATGTGCGATAGTTGGTGCTCCGGAAACGCATGCTACTGACTCACTCTGGTGCCGTCTCCGACAGACTTTACGACACATGTCTCTTAACTGTTCTGCGCTCCCCCAACATCTAATTCGGTAATGGATGCCAGTTTGATACCTGCCTCGAACAGTGTACTACGCCCTAGGTACAGCCCCATCTTCATCACTGGTGACTTCAATGTTCACCATCCGTAGGTATCGGCATCCCAATGAGCAGCTCAAAGCAGACCTACATGAAGTTGTCACTAATATTCCCTTATACCATCATGTCACCTTGCCTAAAATATTCGGGACAGCAAACAAACCCTCCACATTAGGCCTTGTGCCCACAAATAATAGACACATGAGCAGAGGCATAGCAACTACTCTTGCCCCCGGGGCGGACTTAAAGTGCGACTCCCTAACGGTTGTAAACCCGTAAACCCGTACAATTGCGGACAGCCCTTAATACTTCGTTTCATATAACAACAAACAAAGATCTAATTTTAGTGTGCTGCTGTAAATTCAGGCTTGTTGTGGTTACAGTACTCGGGGACAAGATTTACAGACACGCTTGTCGCGTCTTGCTTGAGGCAGTAGCATTGAAAACGCTATCCGAAGTCAAGTTCGCTCCCCATGTTGAGAACTGCCAATTCGCGAACCTTATCTGGTCCAATGATGATTGAAGGTACTTCGTTAGGTGGTTGCGTTTTGTGAACACGCTCTTCACAGCTGACAATGCTAATAGTTCGAGTACGAAATATGCGCAGCATATTCCCCGATGTGGTATTTCTGTATGAGGCTCAAAAGCTCAGAAGGTCCATAACTTTTTTCCTTTTCTGTTGTTTTCACGAGATACTACAATCTGCTCCTTTCGGCATGTTAATCCTCTTTTTCTATATCTTCAATGGTTTCGCTAATCGGACAACCATAGTTATCATCAAGCCGATTTCACGATGTAAGAAAACCATATTTGTTCGCAAGGTCCTAAATTTGCTGAAATCCATAGCATTTCACCAGTCAACCTGTCTATGAGAGATAGCATTTCCCGTTTCAATTCGACATCAAATCCCATTGCTATTTCATGCAATGATTCACCGTCCATTCGTTTCTTTTGGCGCATGCGACGTTTCATGCACACCCACAATTTAGCGTGCTGCTTTTGGATCCATCTGTTGCAACGTGCACTACGTTCTTTCTATTTTGTGGAAGGCAAACTCCTAACGCTGTAAGCTTGACAGAACACCGCTGCAGATCCAGCGCATTTGTTCAGACATGACTATGCATCCCTGATTTCTATGAAAACAGATCCCTAAACGCTCCAAAACAAAATAAGCGGGAACGGCAGCAACAAGGTGGGAATTAGAGATGCATCTGACTTTGTGGTTCCAGTTCCTCCTTATTCTGCGAACTGCCTCAGAGAAGTGACGAATTCGATTATTTTTTCACCGAACTATTTACAGCAATGGCTCAACTACTCCAACTAGATTTTACATTCCCCTTATCCATATACCGGTAACTTGAGTCCATGCCGGAAAAAGTAATGTCTTCAACCTATCTGGAGTTTTCCCCGCCCTTTATTCCCCAAACATGATAAATGCCTAACAATTGACTCCTTATTTACCTTGCATGTTGAAACCCCAGTAACTTTGAATTTGACTCACATTATGAACATTGATTACCCACCCGAGTTTACTCGTACTGCCTACACTCAATTGTTGCTCAAGCTTGCTATGCCAACACTGTTTTACTCTCTGTGTTTTAACACAGCCAATTCCACGGTAGACACGGTGAGGGTCTCGCCAGTTTACCTACTCGTGACAGCCAATCAGCTGCTTAGCCTGTCTCTCCTGTTACATTCAATCGATCAGCACAACTGCGCAATTGGTGCGTTTTGTGCTGTCCTGCCTCAGGCTAACTTCTGACACAAAGTATGTGTATGCGTTTAGTCACCCAGTTTGTGACTTGTCTTGTTTTGAAGCGGTTCTTGCGGTCACGTCCACCCACTTAATTGTATATTTTGTGGTCGCGGACACTGTTTGAGGTTTGTGATATTTGGCACTTTATTGTATCTTATTAGCACCGCAGTCAATCCGTACTTGATTTTTGACTTATTTCGGAGATCGTGAGTCAGTTCCGGCTCGTGAATTTGTTTCCGGTGATCTGTGATCTGTTCCGGCCTTGGTTGAATTTGGACATCCGGAGACTGCGCGTTCTGCTCAGGGTTCCAAAATGTTTTGACGTTTACAGAATCAGTGCATTGAAGTAATACATAAATAAAAATATGATAATATCTGGACCATTATAGCCATAGTGTAACAGAATGAACCGTCGCAGAAGCTGCATGAACACAGAGTATGGTTAGGGCATGACACAAATGTAGACTTTTGGGCTGATTTTATAGATACGTCTCTGGACACCCAATCGTTAGTCTGCCGTAAAGCACTATCGTCGAATTCTCGGCCACGACAGTCTTAAAACTGAATTCCATCCTTCTCTGATTCTCTCAAAACCAGACCAGAATTTTCCGCTTCCCTTTTACTGTTAGACTCATCGAAGTTGAGAAACGACTCCTCTGCCGTCACTTTATTTTTATTCCTCTGATTTTTTTGATATACATCTACAGTGCTATCGAAAATTTAGCAAACGTGATTGCTTTCCTTGACAAGATCTAGAACTTTCTTTCTCACCTGGTTCATCAAAATGCCCACTAATTCATTTTGAACGTGTGGAGACAAAGAAAAGTTGCTGATTTTGCTCCCCACCTGAACTGTCACCAAATGTGTACGAAGCACAGACAAACAGGTCCCATTGAACCCTGCAAAGTGCCACCTGATGACGGTGCGCAGCAGCTTCGTCAGCACATATCTTTTGGGGCAACACCTGCAACAAATGACTAGTGAGCCTGACTTAGGTACCATCGTTCAAGAATGCCTGGGCAATTCGCTCTAATGTGCGAAAGCAGCAAGTGTGGCGAACTTGAATTTGAGGTTTCTGAGGCGAGCTCTTGACATTTTTGAGCGACGGCTAGTACCATTGCTGATTAACTCGTGTTATCGTCCTCACGTTGAATATGCAATTCATACCTGGTGTCCACGGTTAAAACGGGACATTCGTCTTTTGGAGCAACCCCAAAGAATAGCCACCAAGGCAACGCATGGACTATTCGGTCAGTTACGAGCTACGCCTTCATTTACTCGGTGTGCTCTCCTCCGAATGCCGATGGCTCCGCGGAAATCTCATTCTCACATACCGGATACTAACTGAAAGCGAGCATGCATACACATCACTGCTGACCCCAGCATCTTGAAAACAGGGTCAAAGCAACCACCTGCTACTAATGACGCAACACTCACGTTTGAATGGTAGAAAGTATCTTTACTCTTAGAATCTGTTTCCACTGGAATGCACTACCAACACATGTGGTGAACGCACCAGACATTACGACATTCGAAAGACTATTGCACTTTCACCTTAGTCATATACGGTACACAACGGTTTTATAACATGCGATAGCTTAGTCGTTGATAATTTACGTTCTAAATTGATACCTTTTGATTTGAATTTTCTTTTGCATATCCATCCTGTGGGTCGTAGAAAGTTATGTTTTGCTCCCATGCTACACTATTTAACCATCGAACTTTGCCAACAAATGTACAAATTCAGCAAAATGCCCTCCATTTTCCTAGCCTCCTTTGTAATCCTGGATGTCTTCTCGGTGACCACATAGTGTCAGCCACCGCTAGGTGAGAAACCTGTTGATATCAAGTGATACCTAAACGTTCACGCCAACGCTATTCCGCAAATATTTACTCCATTTTTTCAAGTGCCTTTCCTTCAACTGGCCAGATCGCTAGCTCCTTGCGCTCAAGGAACGACTGAGCACGCGATTCACTAGATTCGTGTTCACATGCTTTTGTATATAGTTCCCACCGGTCGAAAATGTAGACTATCCTGTTGAAGACATTCTGGAGTCAAAGTCAAACGGTGCATCTTTTGAAGGAGAATACACCATCCGTGTTCGCAGTCATTGCTCACCGTTTCGCAAATCTCGAAAAAACAGTTCGTTCTAGACTCTTGGTCTCAGCTTTGCATTTGTACCAGGTAGCACCACTTATTATGTTCATGATCGATATGCTGCAAAACAGTAGATCCGAACCGCACAGACATAGCAAGAATTCCATGAACAGTCTTAACAGCTCACTGACAGACATCCATATAATCGGTTGCTGTACGTGTTATCGGGCAAAAGTGTAGTTGCATTTCCAATCCTTCAACTTCGCGCGCTTCCTCTGAATTATCACGACAAAACGTTCCGACTGCATCCATGCTGTCAATATCGCTTTCTGGTTCCCTGATATCAACGTGTGTAGTACCAATTTCATCATCAGTCTCAATATGGTTATTATCGTTCGTTCTACCCCTTCAGTCATGGAAGTAATTTTGATGAATTCACATTGGGCATTGAACAACCATCCGTACTAAAAATGCCGCTCCCTGTCACTTGTCGCCATGCAACACTACTGTGACGAACTAGCCTACCAGATGTCACTATGGTATCCTCCCAAGCGTGTTACGCAAACTGCTTTTGACAACAGTTGTACGTTTAACATTAGATATCCTGTCTTTGAACGGATCTGATGGAATCATGCAAACAGGCTTTTGGGTATATGCTTAGTCATGTTTGTAAAGGTTGTGGAGGCCTCATGGTTCACAAAACATCACGCCGGACAACTTTTCCTCTCCTCCAATTTTGCCAGTTTAGCTCGAGCCCAGATAGCGTTTTTAAAAGGCAAATCGAGTTGCATGAATACTTTTATTTGTGCAGTAAAAGATTCTCTGTTGACTTATCTATAAGGAACACCGTTGACGCTGCTAGCGAGCTCGAACGAAAAGCTGTACAGCACACAGGACGTATAGCTGTACGTGAGGTGGAAGATAATCATATTCCAACCATTTGGCCGACATACGAATCACACAAGTCAAATATGATCGAGATAGACAGAACAGCTCCCGGATGGAATGACATATTCACCAAATGAGGACTATATGAGGACTATATATGTTTGATTTCAGCCTTGCAATTTCCTTTCAAATGCTATGTTAGACCGTCAGCTCTCTTACTTTCCTCATTGTTTTACAAGTATGCACACAGCGAAACACTTAGCTCCCCTGCAACAGTTCATTTAAAAAGGGCAAAATTGTAATTAGCTGGTCTCGTAGGATTGGGGGTAGGAGAAAGGTTAGTGGTCAACTTTTTATTGCGGATGGAAAAGGCTAGGCTTAACTTGTTCCACAGGAATAACAACCATACCCAGTGAACAAATGAAAACTGTACACGTGCTGCATCGTGGATGTCCACAGCGGATTAAACTGCGAATGGGCTGTTACTATCTTATCCGACATCAAAAACAGCACTGTAGCTGCTATATAGTTGAGGCAGGTCAGAAATGCAAGCATTCGTATACCGCAGACACAGACTGAGCGTGCGCCGAGTATGAGTCTAGGGAGCTGCGTCTCTACCGATGACACAACTGGAACAGAGGTATCCCTACGAATCGCTAAAGCCCGATTAGCGGTTGCCAACTTAAAACATCTGTGGCACCGTCATGACATTTCAGGCAGAGTTTACAAAGCCTGCGTACGCAGGACATTGCTGTACGGATGCGAATCCTGGCCAATCCGTGTGGAGGACATGCTTAGTCTTTCCACCCTCGACAGTAGCAGTTTGCGGAGGGTTTGCCTGAGTGCGTTGACAACACCAAGTGTGTTATGCTGACGTTAGACATCGCGTCTTGGTTAACGCAGTTGTTCCCCATTAATATGCCGTCCGGCTGCGTCAATTGAGATGGTTTGGCCGCATCCTGCACATGCCTAAGGAGCGTTTACCACGCCATGTCCTGTTGGCGCACGCAGGGTTACTTTGGAAAGGCCGCGTGAGGGTCAACAGTCCAGCTGGTGACAATGCACGAAATCGATGACACCTTGCCTGGTCATCGCCGGCCCCGTTCGACTCCCTGGCCGGGGACTCAAAGATGAAGAATTCCAATGGCTCACAACGCTGAAAACGATGACGCAAAACCGGTCGCAGCGGAAGCAGTGCGCACGAGTCTGCCGGATTTCACGTTTAGAAAATCACTAAATGTTGGCCATGTCGCGGAATCATAGAATTTGCGGGCGCAACTACCTTAGGTGAAAACGGATGTGTTTGCTAACCTACTGCATTTGATATTAAGCGATTTTGGATTTTCTGAACATTCCTCTTTGCCGAAGAAGGCGATAAGAAAGACAAACAACTTTGCCTACGTTCTACAATGAAGCATTCCGTGAGGAGCAGTAACTTCGTATTACCTAGGCTAAAACGCGCCAGACGGTTGCGATATCTGCCAAAACGTGCTCGGCGAGTACAGCGGAATCTGTCCATATGATGCAAGTCACCAGTCAATTAACGTACCATCACATGCAACTGCGTACAGCACGGGGACGCTTTACAGAGCGTACAGCTGTTTTTGAACCATCTGGCGATTGAAGCATCTAAGTATGGTATGCGCTTTTCTCCCTTGAAGTGTAATGTGATACTCCAGGACTGGAAGTCGTCTGCCCCTTCACTTACCACAGAAGGAACACAACTAGAGCTTGCAGATAACTCTGTCTACCTCGGAAGGTGTATTTCTGCTGATGACACCATTTCGAAAGGGATATCTCCTCGCATCGCCAAAGCCCGGTCGACATTTACCAATCTGTGTCATTTTTAGCGTCGTCGGGACATATCCCTTTTTAAAGGGAAGCGTATACAACGCTTGTGTCCGCGCAGTCCTGTTGTACGGAAGTGAGTTCTGGCCGATTCGTTTGGATGACATGTGTAAGCTTTCGGCCTTAGACAACACATGTTTGAGACGGATAGCCCGTGTGTGATGGCAGCACCGGGTGCGCAACGATGAAGTCCGGCTTTTCATCTTTGCAAACATGGGCCTTCCGCTTGATCGCCTTGTCACAATACGTAAATGGAGGTGGCTTGGCTACCAACGTATGTCATGCTAAAGTTTACCCCGTCGCGTCTTATTTGCTCTCATGGGATTAAACTGGAAGAGAACACGTGAAGGTCAGCCAATCACTTGGCGGCAAACAATAAAATCTCTGAACTCCTCTCTCGTAATCGTCGTCCCATTACGTCTCCCTGCATGGGTTCCCAAGTATGGGGACTGCCATTGGGTCGACACACGGCAATATGGCGCGAAACCAGACGCAATTGAAGGACTTTATATTACAATGCTTTGAACAATGTGATTAGAGCTATATCAACCAAAATGCCAAGAAAAACAAAACAAAATAGCATGTAAACGAACCAAACAAACACAAAGCCAATGGGCTCAAAATATTTACTCGCTGTTTCTGATAATTGTATTATTTTATTTTGTTCCTCATGGTTTTTCGATGGCACAATGTTTATCTATGTACGGATGTATATGATTGGCGGCATCCGGTTTCGGATTTGCCTGTCACTGTGGCCAGCCACAGGACGCCTGCGTCTACAAAGGGACCATGGGTGGCTTGCGCTGCACCACCCACAGCTCCAACCACACACCCCATATCCAGTGTAAACCCGAAGGAATAAGACCGGGAGCCATGTGGATGGGAGCCACGTTTCATCAACGGAGCCGGTCCACACTCCTTCACAGGCAAACACAAGCACACTGTATTTAGGAATCAAGCGCATCCAAGGCGGTGGCTGGACCGTAGTCCGCTCCACACTGAGTGCATGGAACCACTCTTCGAGCCTAACACGACCACAAGGACCGTGCACCCCGTCCCATCCATCAACGACCAACTGTCTCCTAGAGCCAGTATGGATGAGGTAGTGGGTAATAGACATGTAGACACCTTGTCAACATGCACATCAAGGGCAGCCACACCGGGGATATCAAACAACAGCTAATCACTTGAGAGAAAGATAACCAAGTAAATAAATCGAGTAATGTATTAAGAAACGGTGACATAATTCTTAAACTAGTGAGCATATGAAATAAGTTGCTTACCAACGAATAAGAGGTAAGTTCACGAGGTCAGGAAGTTTATTTTATGGAAATGCTACAAACACGAAAATGTTATCGAAATAACTACAAGTGGCTTAAGCGACGTGTTTAAGTGTATAGAAGTATATATATATTATACACAATCTGTGGTACAGATATTGTGCCATCGGAATCATAGCTGAATAGGAAAACAATATGAATAATAAGAAAAGAGCAACAACAAATGCTTTTTGTCTATTTTACCACTCACAGTTTTTGAAATTTTCTTTCAGTTTGTTCTTTTTTTAGGAGGAGGAAGAAGGGACATGGCAACAAACCGATGCACACGTCCGCCATTGACATCGATCTTGAGCCATAACTTCCAAGGTCTTCAACCAGCAAGTATCCTCATCTCTCGGACCCCAACCAGGTAGTCGACAATAACCGACCGAGGCCAACCGTTTCGTCAACTTTTTCATGCGGCTTCTCCCTGTTGTAGGCTGTCCACCAGACCGTCTCTTCCAGCCCTGTCCAGCAAGTGCAAACAACGCACGACGGGGGTAACGCTGGACAGGCGTGCGCAATACGTGTCCCAGCCACCGCAGTTGATGCAGTGGCATAAGCTCCTCGAGCGAGTGGCTTCCACGTCCCAAGACATGCTGTCTAACTTCCACATTGCTCCCGTGGTGCTGCCACCCCACACGGGCAATGGACTGCAGACAGCGGTGCTCGAAGACGGATAGCCTGTGCAAGTCATCTTTACGAATGGGCCAGGTCTCGCATCCGTACAACAGTACTGCACGAACAGTTGCACAATAGACCCGCCCTTTGATGGAGAGACGAATGTCGTGGCGACGCCACAAATGCCTCAGCCTAGAAAAAGCGAGGCGTGCTTTCGAGATGCGCATCGAAATCTCGTCTCCAACAGCCCCGCCAGCAGTGATGCAACTTCCCAAGTAGACAAAGCTCTCCACAACCTCTAGTGTCTCACCAGCAAGCGTGAGTGCAGGCAGAGGCACCTGCCAGTCTTGGAAGAGAGCCTTGCATTTGGATGGCGAAAAGTACATACCATACTTTGATGCTTCAATCGCCAAGCGATTTAATGCAACTTGGACGACGTGTGGGTCGTCACCCAGCAAGACGATATCATCAGCATAATCCAAATCAACAACTCAACTACCTGGGAGGAGCTCAACGCCAGCATTCAACGAATCGCCTAGAGCGTTCTTCAAAACATCCTCAATGGCAAAGTTGAATAGGAATGAGAGATATGGCATCCTTGTCGAACTCCACTGGAGACCACAAAGGTAGGCGAAAGCTTGCCATAAGCCCTAACCCTGCCCGAGGTCAGACTATAGTGGGCGCGGTATAGAGACGAACTTCTCGGGGACACCATTCCTCAGTAGCTAGTGCCACAGTACCGTACGATCGACGGAATCGAAGGCTGCACGGATAACCAGGAACACAGCAATCGTTGGCCTCTGGTACACATGGCGGAGCTCGAGGATCTGGTGGAGTGTGAAGATTTGATCGATGCAGCCGCGACCATGACGAAACCCAGCTTGTTCTTCTCGTTGCAACGATTCGCGCGTTGGGGGTAGCCCGCGAAGTATGATGGACACCAGCAGCTTGCGAACGACGGGGACTAAGCTTATGCCTCTGTAGTTGGAGCAGATGGTGCGCAAGCCCTTTTTGAAGATGGGCACGACTATCGATTCACTCCAAGATGATGGAACTTTCTCTTTCGATCAAATTTTCGAGAATACAGCAGTGAGTTCTCGAACCAGCGAAGCGCCATCATCTTTAAATAGAGCTGGGGGAAGACCATCATGGCCGGGAGCTTTATAGCTCTTCATGTGCCGGAGCTCCTGCTCGAGTTCCTGGTAAGAGGGAGGATCTGTGGGGGTAGACCACTCGGCCCCAGCGCGAGCGCCAGAGGTAGCAGATAGAGCTGGGGGCCAACAAAACTGCGAGCCAAAATGTTCGGCCCATCGCTCCAACCGTCGTTGAAGATTGGTGATTAAGGTGCCATCCTCTTCGCATATTGTTTCACTTATCCCGGATAGAACACCTTCGGTGACTCGGATAAGATGGAAGAGTTTTCTGGTATGACCAGAGAGACTAGCAAGGTCCACCTCCCTAGCACGTTCACACCACCAAGCTTCGCAGTCCATTTGCAGACTCCTGCACAACTCTCGACCTAGGTATTGGCGTTCCTCACTGTGCCTGGAATCCGATGGGATCAAGCGGCGTCTGTCCATCAGCGACAAGGAGTCGGCGGAAATCCAATGTTTCGGTGGGTGATGGGTAACTCCACAAGTGTCGATACTGGCGGAAACTAACGCATCTTTGATATGCGCCCACTGCGAATCGAGATCACCGTCAATAGTTGAACCAAGCAAGGTTGACAGTGAGGCTTGGTACCTGGTTATAATCGCAGCGTTTTGTATATTCGCGACGTCCGGTCGGTAGTGAGCGCGCTTAGGTAATCCTCCGAAACGCAAGCAAAGCTTAGCACGAATCAATGCGTGATCGGAGTTTAGAAAGTTGACCAGTACGATCGGCAGTCCGTTACACTTCCGCGCCATCTGTAGCTGATTGCTATGTGGTCAAGCTGGGAGCAATCTTGCGTTTGTGAGAGCGGGCGCCATGTAGCAGCGTGTCTCCTCGGGTGCCGAAAACTAGCACCTAGCGTTCGAACGAAATAAGCGATGATCAGAACAAAGAGCAATCAGTCTGTCTCCATTGTCTGATCGACTGCCACCGAGACCAAAACTACCCCCAAGGTGGTGCTCGTTTGGTGGAAGGCGGCCAACCCGTGCGTTAAAGTCCCCGGCAAGAATGACTATATCCGTCCTTTTGGAGGAACGCAGAAGTTCATGTAGTTGTTGGTAAAAGCTATCTTTAACTGCATCTGGGCTGCAGTCTGTAGGGGCGTTGGCGGAGACGACAAACAAGGCACGCTTAACATCTCGACGCCTGCTTACGTTACATGAACCTCTTAGTCTGACTGCACATAGCCGACTGTTGACTGGGATCCAGTCAAGCAGAGCTGATTCAGCCCTGGTACTTAATACAACTCCAGCACCAGCTTGACCAGTGGCGGCAGATTCTGGGTCTCCGGAAAGCCGCAAGTAGTATTTGGCGTCAGAATTTACCGGAGAGGCCATTCTGATGACTGCGCTAGAGTCTTGTAATCTGGTCTCTGAAAGACAACAGATGTCTACCAATAGCGTTTCAAGAGTACGGGCCAGACATGCTTGTCGTCCGACCTGCATCAAATTTCGAACATAAAACGCTGCGAGGATGAATGGAGAACCAGGTCGAAGAAGAGCTGGAGCTTCGGTTGAGTGAGAGGCGGTTGCGATCGCAGAACATTGAAAACCGGGAGTTTGGCTATTACTTCCATCAGCTGCGAGACGTGGGTCGTTTATGACG